AGGGAACGTGCACAGTTTGTTACACGCTGAATTAACATCAGGGAACGTGCACAGTTTGTTACACGCTGAATTAACATCAGGGAACGTGCACAGTTTGTTACACGCTGAATTAACATCAGGGAATGTGCACAGTTTGTTACACGCTGAATTAACATCAGGGAACGTGCACAGTTTGTTACACGCTGAATTAACATCAGGGAACGTGCACAGTTTGTTACACGCTGAATTAACATCAGGGAACGTGCACAGTTGTTTGTTACACGCTGAATTAAAGTCAGGGAACGTGCACAGTTACACGCTGAATTAAAGTCAGGGAACGTGCACAGTTTGTTACACGCTGAATTAAAGTCAGGGAACCTGCACAGTTTGTTACACGCTGAATTAAAGTCAGGGAACGTGCACAATTTGTTACACGCTGAATTAAAGTCAGGGAACCTGCACAGTTTGTTACACGCTGAATTAAAGTCAGGGAACGTGCACAGTTTGTTACACGCTGAATTAAAGTCAGGGAACGTGCCCAGTTGTTTGAGTGTTACAGCACAGAAACACAAAACTCTGTTCATGGAAACAGTTTCTATCGAGGACACACAGTTTCTTCAAAGATTGGGTCTCACTCTGCCCCCAAGGCTGGAATGTGCAGGCGCAATCACAGCTCACTGCAGTCTCAACCTCCCAGGCTTAAGGAATCCTCCCGCCTCAGCCTTTCAAGTGCTGGTAGCACCTCATCCAGCTATTTTGTTTTAATAGAATGGATTTCACTATATTTCCAGGCTGTTCTAAAACTCCTGAGCTTCAGTGATTGGCCTGCCTCAGCCTCTCAAAGTGCTGGGATTACAGGTGTAATTTAAAAAGTTTTACTATTTTAATAATAGTATTATTTTTTAATAAAGAAATATATAAATAAGCTATTTTAATAATTGTCCTGAGAGATCATTGCTGTATTACTCAGAAAATATGCAGCCTTAAAAGTAGAATGAAATCCCTGTTCTAAGTTAATGTGGTAGGTAAAATAAATCATGGGTTACAATGAAGAAATGGCAGATCCTGGGGGAGACTTTTCCTTGACCAGGTGAGGACTTACCAAGGTGTAAACGGAAACCACAGCCTCTGAGGCTCCCAGTATTGAGCTGCCTCCCAAGAGAATCCTCGTGTCCTGAGCTCCCCTGGTGTCCTGAGGGCTCCCTGGTGGTTCTGAGTGTCCCCTAGTGTTTCCAAGTACCCCCTGGTGTCCTGAAAGCAGCATTGTTGTCCTGAGCTCCCCCCGGTGTCCTGATCGTCCCCTGGTGGTTCTGAGCACCCACTGGTGTCCTGAGTGCCCCTTGGTGGTGCTGAGAACCACCTGGTGGCTCTGAGTGGCCCCAGGTGTCCTGATTGCCCCCTAGTGGTTCTGAGCACCCACTGGTGACCTGAGTGCCCCTTGGTGGTGCTGAGAACCACCTGGTGGCTCTGAGTGGCCCCAGGTGTCCTGATCGCCCCCTGGTGGTTCTGAGCAGCGTCTACCACGCAGTTCCCCTCCCGTTTCCCTGCAGAGATTTTTGCGTCTGGGCTCACCCAGATGTTCCCACTCCTGTGTCCCTCACTGCAGTACACGGCCTTGTCCTTGGCTTTCAGGTTGGTCGCTGTGAGGTAGACTGCACTGGAAAGGGTGTCATTTGGGAATGTATAATTTATTTGTGCTCATGGAGAGTAACCCTGAGAACTCCCACTTGGTCACTCACTGCTGCCACCCCCCCGATCCCTGCTGTGAAGCCTGCTGGACCAAGCTCGTGCTGTACCCAGTGAAGGTGCAGTCAGAGGCTTTGCAGGAGTCTCAATGAACCGCTGGGCTGTACAATGTTTCCCCTCTGACTCCATCAGCAAACTTCACACAGGAATTCTGTGAACAGAGAAAACAGACTGAGAACAGCTCCATATGGAGCAGCCACAGCGGGACCTGATCCACAAGGACCCTAATGTTGAGTGGGATGAGAAGGAATCCAGACCAGGGCAGACCCCACAGTGTGGACAGAGAGGAGGGGCACAGACATGGGGTTGGCTCCTCAGCAGGGCCTGAAGGAACAGGGGATGAGCCCCCTTTCTTGAGGAGAGGAGGGGACACAATTCCATGTCTTTCTTTTGTGGTCGCGGTGCACCGCTCAGCCTTGCTCACCCATCCTCTGTGTCTCTATTTCAAGGAAAGCAGGGTGAAAGGATTCCTGGGTCTGGATGCACAGGGGTAATCTGCCCATTACTCTTTTTTTATTCTCTAAAGTGGACACTGTTCAGGTATCTTCGTAGTTGCAATCATAATCAACAAATATGTCCAGTAAGAACCTAAAAATACATTTCCAGAGAAAATGAATGGACACCAGTCTTTAATTGGTTCATTTAGAGCCGCAAACGACTGCTCTTGACAATAAGAAAAATTAGGTTACAATGAAAATAGTACAGATCTACACCTGCTCAGGGAGGGGGGTTACAGTTGTCATTATCTTAAGATTATTTTGCCACAAAACAGTTCCACATTGGATATATGCGCCTCTGTCGGAAAACAATCAGTGTGGAAACACGTGTACTTGCCTGAGTGAAGAGTTCACACGGAGACATGTTTGCTTGTCTGAGACAAGAGTCCACGTGAGGAAGTGTCTGTTTTCTGAGGAAAGAGTACATGTAAGAACATATGTGGGAGTCTAAGGAAAAGCCCATGTGGGGACAGGTGTGTTTGTCTGAGGGAAGAATCCACATGGGCAGAGGTGTGTTTGTCGGACAGAAGAGTCCACATGTTGACAGGTGCGTGCCCCCATCTGAGGGTAAATCACCATTAAGGGACACTGTACGCCTGAACCGAGGTGAAATTTGGGGAAAATCTTTCTCAGGCAAGAAAAGAAAAAATCCTGTGGGTTATTTGCTTGTCAGGAAGAAAAATCCTGGGTCACGTAGAAAACGGGTTTTTCTAAAAATCAAGTGTTTAGTGAATGGGAACGTGTTACACACAAATGATGAAAATCCCCTCATCTGTGCTGCAGGCATCTCACCACAACCCCACCCTCACGAAATGTGTTATTAGACGATTTTACGTAGTCTGCCTTTGAGCCTGGGGTTAGTGAACAGCTAAATATTTTAAAAATTGTGTATATTTAGCTTTATGTTTTCCATCACAGATTATGAGCTTAGACAAATTAATCGTTTCATGTTTCAACCATTGCACGTTACTAAAAATAGTTCTGCTCTTCTCAAACACTGCCCTTCTAACTTATTTATACTCACTCTCTGAATTCTCGGGATATGCACTACATGTTTACTTGACTATAGTTTTGGCTTTTACAGAATTTCAAACACGTTCTACAAAAGTTAAAACTATAAACAAAATTTTACAGTTAATTAAAGTGACTTCACTGAAGAGAGTAGAAAATGAAGTCGCTGACCTAAGGAACTTTGAAGATGAGGACATTCTACAAGTTTAAAGTGTAAAGAAGCTGCACATAAGCGCTCTATTCGAGTAGATGAACATGTTTCTAAGAAGGGAACGGCCTTACATTTCTGACACTGCTGTGCCTGTGTCCTGAACCCGTGCAGCTAAGTGATAGGATGGCATATGGTGGGATGGGGTCCCTCGCTTTGCGGTGGGTACTTACCGACATCAAGGAAGGGAGGCTGGAAAGGTCCATGCGGTGACACAGTTGTGGGGAGAGATCAGTGTGTTCTCATTTTAATGTAATAAAGTCACAGAAGACTAGACACATAAATAGTTTTGATGTGTCCATAAACGTGGGTTCAGGTAGACACGCACATTTACTAGGCCAGTCGGTTGAGAAGTTCTACAAGTATTTAAACCACATGAACAACACACATACCCAGTGTCACCATTTTTTATGTTAATATTATTCTTTAACATCAGAAACAAGCAATCTTTAGAAAAATGGCTGATTCTATGTACAAAAAGGTGATATAGAAAAGAAGCTTAGAATTTATCCTGATACTGGGAAGCAGGGAAGTGTCAAACACAGAAGGACGAGGCGTGCTGTGAGGAAGCAGGGTCCAAACTGAATGAGCTGCCAGCGCCCGGCAAAGCTGTGCTGATTTCAACAATAAAATGGGTAATGTAGCATGGATCCTCTCCAGAGTATGAAATACACATCCACAAACCAGTATGGATATTCATAGATGATTAAATAAAATGAGTAATGTAGCATGGATCCTCTCCAGAGTATGAAATACACATCCACAAACCAGTACGAATATTCATAGATGATTAAATAAAGAAATAATGGGAAGAGGCGCACTTCTCCGTACAGAAGCATTCCAAACGTGTTAGGTGGATAGTCCTCCAATCAGGTAGGTGAAGCTTAAACATGAATGAGTTGATTGTGGCCTGAGATCAGAGACAGTGAAAAAATTCACTATTAGTGTGTTTTGTAATGAGATTTCAGACATAATGCCAAAGACGTGATCTCCGAATGAATAAAATTTTGCATGTCTTTAATTTAAATTTGTGCAGGCACACACATAGTTTTCTGCAATACACACTGATAGGGGCATAAAAGGCAACCACAGGCTTGAAGAAAATACTTTCAAGTTACATATTTGTCACATAAATTCTTTTACTTTGTTAAATGACTTTTATAGTCAATATGCAAGTAAACTTACAACTAATCAAAAGGAAACAACGCAGTTAAATTGAACCGACTATCAGAAGCATCTCACCAAATCTATATAAAATTGTTAAACGGTAATTTTTTATTGGGGACATGTGCATTTAAACAAAAATTAGATGCCATTACTCACCTATTAGAACGGTTAAAACACAGAATTCCCGTAAGGATAAATGGCAACACGAATGTGAAAAGCTAAGAACTATCATGTACTGACGGTGGAGAATTCAGTGGCACATGCATAAAATGAGATACTTTTTTATATAGAGAGATAAAAGTAGAGTTAAAATGTGAACTTGTGTTTGTCTTCCAAAATATTTGCAACACGGATTCAGAAACTGATGTTTACAAATAAGCCTTTAGAGGAAGTTCTGTATCAGCTTTATCAATTTCATCCATTCTCTAGTCCCTGAAATTTGCTCTCAGAATGAATGTTGTATGAAAAATCTCTCAAATAACTAAAATTTCTCAAATTCATATTTATATTGTCTTTTCTTTAATGACTTAATGTAATTTTCTAAGAAAGTCTCCAATCTAATAATCCCTGTCGTCTCCTCCATGTCAGCACAGCTGCCTCCTCCCCGGGGTTTCTGACACTCTCAGGATGTGGTTTTCACACTGTGTGTCGTGCACAGTAATACACGGCCGTGTCCTCAGGTCTCAGGCTGCTCAGCTCCATGTAGGCTGTGCTCGTGGACGTGTCCCTGGTCATGGTGACTCTGCCCTGGAACTGCTGTGCGTACTTTGTGTTACCATTACCAGGGTAGATCCATCCCATCCACTCGAGCCCTTGTCCAGGGGCCTGTCGCACCCAGTGCATGTAGTAGTCAGTGAAGGTATATCCGGAAGCCTTGCAGGAGACCTTCACGGAGGCCCCAGGCTTCTTCACCTCAGCCCCAGACTGCACCAGCTGCACCTGGGAGTGGGCACCTGTGGAGCGGACACAGGAGTGGGTGAGATCACACCTGACTGGACCCAGTTCTCTCATCAGCCCTGGGACTGAGGATTCTCTTACCTGTAGCTGCTGCCACCAAGAGGAGGATCCTCCAGGTCCAGTCCATGGTGAGGTGCTGTGCTCTGGGGTTTCTGTAGGGGAGGGATGTAGTTGTTGTGTGATGCTCTCTGGGCAAGGACAGATCTGTATTTACCTCGGTAGACACCAGTGCATTTGCATATTCATGAGGCAGGTATTTCATAGCTCAAGCCACCCCAGCCTGAGGAGGAAGAGAGGTGGCACGTGGACCAGGCCACCGTGGGATGCTGAGCTCCCTGCCCTGAACTTGGTTTAATGGTATTTGTCCTCTGGCGTGCTCAGAAGTCCGTGAAGACAGAACTCCTCTCACAGAAATCCAGAGTCTCACAGGGCATGGTCCTCAGTGTGATTCCTTGTTCCTATGGCTCACTGGCAACCTGAGCGTTTCCTGGACCTCCCCCTCTGCACATCTGACTTCTGGGATGATTGTGCCTCCCGATAGTAACACCCACTGAATTAATAAAACCACCCTCGATTCCTAACTGTAATTACATTTGAAAGGCCTAGACATTTCTCCTTTTAAATGTGGTTTGCATTAGTTTTTTTGAGTTGGGTATAGGCCACATACACAAGAGAATACTTAAAGACACTTCAGTGCTTGCTAAATACTTATTTAACTTCTATGTCATTATCGCTTTGAAATAAGGAATATTCAGTTCTTGAGAGGAAACCCCTCCCCAGCCTCCTGTGCACCTGCTCCAGGGCCGGGTCCTGTGCTGGGTGCGTCCTGAGCGCCCCCTGCAGCTCAGCTCCTGCCCTGCAGGGAAGCTCCTGTCTGGGTTTACCTAGAATTCTCCCCCAGCGTCTGAAGCCCAGTCTGAAGCGGCTGTGCCCTGGCTCAGAATGCTCCTTCTGTAACAACTGATTCTCACACCCATCTTAAAATAGGACATCCACTTTAGAAAACCCAACATAATCCACAGGGTCACCTTAGCACAGCAAGCAAGGAATTCAATTTCCAGAACATACCCTGCTCCCCTGCCCCACACATCACCTGCTCACAGTACGATTAACCTGGATTAAAGAGAAAAGTGTGGCAATGCACAGCCTCGTCCTGAGGGCTAGAACTTAGGGAAACAGCTTTGCTGGAGCTCCAGGTGCACTGATACGGTCCAGACATATGGCAAGTCCAGGAACTGAAGGGGATGTTGCGGGCACTTTTTTTTTTTTTTTTTTTTAGGATTCTTTGATAGAAAATCACATCAGATTTTAACTTTAATCAGGGACCCTATGTTTCAAAGCCCACCTCAGACACACTCACGGTGGCATATTTGGGCAGTAACGAGCCTCAAATTCCCTCCTTTCTAGGTGCTGCCGATGAAAAGTGCTCTGGCCGGGCGCGGTGGCTCACACCTGCAATCCCGGTACTTTGGGAGACTGAGGCAGGCTGATCAGGAGGTCAGGAGGTCGCGACCACCCTGGCTAACATGGTGAAATCCCGTTTCTACTAAAAATACACAAATCAGCTAGGGGTGGTGGCGCGTGCTTGTAGCCCCAGGAACTCAGGAGGCTGAGGCACGGGAATTTATTGAACTCGGGAGGTGGAGGTTGCCGTGAGCTGAGATCGCACCACTGCGCTCCAGCCTGGGTGACAGAGCGAGACTCTGTCTCAAAAAAAAAAAAAAAAAAAAAAGCGCTTCCAAAACTGAGCTTATTCCTGGTTATATTTGTGGTTGTTGTTGTCACTGTTTTGTTTTTCCAAACAGAGCCGAGGCAAGCTCAGTACTACTGGAGAGGTGGAAACTGTCTTCACCTTGTTTTTGCCCTTCTCACCCGGGAACCCTGCAGATGCCCCACGAGAGGCAAATCTAAGGCCATCGAGGGAGGGCCGTGACCTTGGTCCTGAAGCTGTTGGTCTCAGAGGGTTTAAATCCCTTCGCTGTCCTTGACCTGTTGTCTCCCGTTGCCTTTGGTTTCCCTAAATTCTCAGAGTCTTCATCGCCACACGTGTCTCTTTAATCCAGATGAATCGTACTGGTGAGGAGGTGATATGATGGGCAGGGGAGCAGGGTACGTTCTGGAAATTGAATTTCAATGTTTTCTTGCTGTTCCTTCTCTATGCTGTGCCCTTTACGAGGGGTCTCCAGTGGTTCAGCCGATCTTCCTCCATCCTCTACTCCCCCTCTTGGCTGCGACATCCACAGATTATTCTCCTGAATCTGACCCCAGTTGCTTTATTAATTACACCCTTTTTCATGACACAGGAAGGCTAAGATGAAACGGTCTGGGAAGGAAAAGAATCCCTTCCCCTCACATAGAATAGAGATGTCGAAAAGTATTTTTTCTCTGTAGGATCTGTCTGGAGAAAGTTCTGGGCTTTTCAGAGAAAAGTTCTGCTGGTGACAGAGCCATGAGGGAATCTGTTTGGAGTCTTGTGAATCCAGAAGTATCTGGAGGGAAATTCCATGAAAGTGTGGGATGTGTGCCCCCCCTCAGGATTTCTTACCCTATCCCTGTCCCCACCTGTCCTCCAGACATTTACAGAACTAACATGTAACTGTTCCCACCAGCTTGTGCTTTCAGCTGAAGAATCACCCAATTTATAAACTTATAAAGGAAACTTTATTTCTGAGAAAGGGTTGAAGTTCAGGAGGGCCTTGTTAGCAGGTTGGGAGGCAAAGCCTCCCACAGAGACTGTGAGCAGGCACTTCAACAGAGGGAAAGATGAGAAATGAACTCATATGAATGGATTGACCAGTGTCCACACTCAGCAGGCTGTAGGAGGCGCTGTGGATATTCACGTGGCGGGCAGGCTCTCATGTGAATGGATTGACCAGTGTCCACACTCAGCAGGCTGTAGGAGGAGCTGTGGATATTCACGTGGTGGGCAGGCTCTCATGTGAGTGGATTGGCCAGTGTCCACTCTCAGCAGGCTGTAGGAGGAGCTGTGGATATTCACGTGGCGGGCAGGCTCTCATGTGAGTGGATTGACCAGTGTCCACACTCAGCAGGCTGTAGGAGGAGCTGTGGATATTCACGTGGTGGGCAGGCTCTCATGTGCAATAGACAATTGACCAGTGTCCACACTCAGCAGGCTGTAGGAGGAGCTGTGGATATTCACGTGGTGGGCAGGCTCTCATGTGTAATAGACAATTGACCAGTGTCCACACTCAGCAGGCTGTAGGAGGAGCTGTGGATATTCACGTGGCAGGCAGGCTCTCATGTGAGTGGATTGACCAGTGTCCACACTCAGCAGGCTGTAGGAGGAGCTGTGGATATTCACATGGTGGGCAGGCTCTCACGTGACTGGATTGACCAGTGTCCACACTCAGCAGGCTGTAGCAGGAGCTGTGGATGTTCACGTGGCGGGCAGGCTCTCATGTGTAATAGACAATTGACAAGTGTCCACACTCAGCAGGCTGTAGAAGGAGCTGTGGATATTCACGTGGCGGGCAGGCTCTCATGTGAGTGGATTGGCCAGTGTCCACACTCAGCAGGCTGTAGGAGGAGCTGTGGATGTTCACGTGGTGGGCAGGCTCTCATGTGAATGGATTGACCAGTGTCCACACTCAGCAGGCTGTAGGAGGAACTGTGGATGTTCACATGGCAGGCAGGCTCTCATGTGTAATAGACAATTGATCAGTGTCCACACTCAGCAGGCTGTAGGAGGAGCTGTGGATATTCACGTGGCAGGCAGGCTCTCATGTGAGTGGATTGACCAGTGTCCACTCTCAGCAGGCTGTAAGAGGAGCTGTGGATATTCACGTGGCGGGCAGGCTCTCATGTGAGTGGATTGACCAGTGTCCACACTCAGCAGGCTGTAGGAGGAGCTGTGGATGTTCACGTGGCGGGCAGGCTCTCATGTGAGTGGATTGACCAGTGTCCACACTCAGCAGGCTGTAGGAGGAGCTGTGGATGTTCACGTGGTGGGCAGGCTCTCATGTGTAATAGGCAAACACACCTGTCACATGCATTTCATGTTTGTTTGGGGGGAGGACTTCAGAACTAAGTGAATTACAGTTGGGCCTTGTACCTCAGAAGGGCTGTGTCCAGGGGCAGAAAGACACACAGTGCACAGTCTCTGTAAATTGGCCAGGACAAGGCCATGGTCAGTGGTCTCTTCTCAGGAGAAATTTACTGAAATCAGTCTCTTGTCCAGTCAAAGCTCTATTTATGGCTGTGGAACAGGGGCACAGTTACCCTGTGTCTGCAGTTCCATGAGCTCCAAGTGTTTTAATATTGCTTATCTCAGGCCCAGTGCTGTACACCTGCTAGAGGAAGAAAAGCCCTGTGGCAGTTACAACATAGTATTTTTCTTTCTTTCTTTCTTTCTTTCTTTCTTTCTTTCTTTCTTTCTTTCTTTCTTTCTTCTTTCTTTCTTTTTTTCTTTCTTTCTTTCTTTCTTTTTTTTGAGACAGAGTCTCCCTCTGTCACTAGGCTGGGGTGCAGTGGTGCGATCTTGGCTCAGTGCACCCTCACCTCCTGGGTTCAGATGTTCCTCCTGCCTCACCCTTCCTAGTAGCTGGGAGTACAGGTGCATGCCTCCATGCCCAGGTAATGTTTTGAATTTTAGTAGAGACCGGGTTTCACCATGTTGGACAGAATGGTCTCCATCTCCTGTGGGTTTCGCCATGTTGGACAGGATGGTCTCGATCTCCTGACCTTCTGATCCACTCACCTCAGCTTCACAAAGTGCTGGGATTACAGGGGTGAGCCAGAGCACCCAGCCAACATAGTGTATGTTTTTTAAGTTTACAGATGAGTTACTTAATCCATGGCCTTAAATCCTGTTTATAGTTTGATATCTTATTGCCATGGAAAGTTTGATCCATCAGGCTGATAATCTCTATTTTAATGTCTTTCTAGTTTTGGGGTCCTGGTTTCTCCACAATTTCATTTCTTCAACAGATCCAAGAAATCATTGATAATCAATTTTCCAGGCTTTTATTATTGTAAGAATGTGGGCGATGATCAACATGCTCTTTACATATTAAAGCAGAAACCAGAAGCAGCTTCAGAGATCACCATTGACCTGATAGGAGCAGCGGGAATGTCATCTCAGGTATAAGTGTCACCACTCAGACGTAGCTGAACGTGCAGTGACACGGAAGACCCGCAGCACAGGACACATATGGGAAGTTT